ATAATATAATAGATGCCCATAACTCCTTCACCTAAAAGTAAGTTTAGTAACATGTTGGTATACTTTTTTGAAAATATTAATTTATGTTACAGATACCATGAGTGCTTACTCCTAAATGTGTTAGTTTGTACTTTCTAAAAGTAAGGGCATTTTTCTATTTAACCATGATCCATGATACCAATTTCATACTTAACTAGATTGCTATCATATAATAAACCCAAACCATATTCATTTCTCAAATTGCCCCCCCCCTCATGCATTTTACAACTGGTCTGGTCAAATGATGATCCAGTTAAAGACCACACATTGTATTTAATTGTTAAAATTCTTTTAATTTAGAATAGTATCTCCCCTTTCTTTAAAGGTATCAACTTGTTGAGGAAACTATTCCCATAGAAGACTCCACCTTTTGAATTTATCTAATTGCTTTTTCATGGTTGATTTAATTTTTTTGTCCCCTGTCTTTCTCATACACTCGGAGTTAGGTCTAAAGGCTTGACTTGATTATGTTCAGGCAAAAATACTTCATGGGTTGTGCATTATGTTTTATATTGTATAACATCCAATATCTGTCTTACTTTTAATGTTCCAGTAAGTTAATGACAGTCTAATCCTTCCATTATGCAATGACATTTCCTCCCTTATCAATAGCAGGTTATCTGCAAGTTGATACTTGGGTACCATGTAAAACCCACCTTTTTATCAACCTTACATTAAGTGATTTAGAATACATGGATGATCCTTTCCTGAGTCAATTAATTCCTTAAAGTTTCAAATTATTGATTTACTAATTTTATCATGCCTTCTAAATTTATTAGCTATCATTCTTCTATAAAGAAGAGTTATCCCTTGTCAAGTTGGATTGTTTGGTTGTCCTGAAATAAAGTTATACTGGAAAGGCAGGACAAATGCTTTAATTTTTTTCCTATTAATTACTTGCTATAAAAGTGAGGAATTTCTTTAGTAGCCACTTCTAATGGTTGCATGGGTGGTGTGTGTGTGAAAGAGACAAAAAGAGAAAGTGCATTTGTATTTTGACTTAGGTTTTTAAAGAATCAATATGGTTATAGTAGCAATAGAAGTTGAGTTTCTGAATATATTTTGAAGGTAGAGCCAATAGTATTTACTGATGGATTAGGTACAGAATGTGAGAGAGTAGAGTTAAGGATGTTTTTGGATCAAGGAGCTAAAACAATGTTGTTATCAACTGAGGGCAGATTTCAGGTAAAATAGATTTGGAATGTTATTGGTAGGAATTAAGTTTTGGACATGTTAAGTCTGAGATGTCTGTTAGATATCCAAGTGGAGATGTTGAGTAAATAACTGGATGTATGAATCTGGTATTCCATGGAAAGGACTGGGTTAGAATAGAAATGTGGGTGTCAAAAGTGTATAGATGATACTTAAAATTGTTATACTGGATGAAATCATCAGGCGTTGGTTATAGAGAGACAAGAGAATGCTGGGCTTCTTGTCCCAGCATCAAGAAGGGTTCAGGAATCTGGAGAAGGGACTGTGCGTAGATGACATAGGAATCCAGAGACTAATAAAGAGTCTGGAGACAAAAATATAATTTTGAAAGGCATTGGGTGTCAGAGGAGCTTAGCTAAAGGAGCTAAGTTCTAAGATCTTAAGTCTAAGGCCTTAGGTTCTCATCGTCCCCAGGACCCCATGGTTTTTATTAACACAGTTTGTCCTGAGGCAAGGCAGAGATATACACTTCAAAGGGTCAGGGTTTGGTACAGAGTCCTTTGTCAGAATGGGAGAATTAGCCTATGGCTGTTCAGGTGTTTGGCCAGTAGGAAGCAATAACATGTAGATTATGATGCCCTTTAACTGTCTGGCAGCCACAATCAATTTAATGTATCCTATTCAGGTTTGGGGAAATGCCTTTAGCCATTCCCAGATGCAGCCCTGCTGCACATGCTGGAATTGGACTCCGGCAAGAGAGGGTCTGAGCCTTTGGGCACTTCAATGGTAAAGGGCCTGGGAGGAGGGGGCAGCGTATGATGTAAGAGGAAAACAGACAGTATGAAATTTTGGAAACTAAATGGGAGAAGGAATGATCAACTCTGCTAAATGTCTCTGATAGGTCATTTAAGATGAGGACTAAAATTAATCATTTGATTTATCAGCAGGGAGGTCAAAACTAGCCATTTTGGTAGAGTTGGGATAGTGTTATGAGTGGAATTAGAGACAGAATAGATAACTCTAAAGGAGTTACTACAAAGACACAGACTAATGGGATTGAGGGGTGAGTTCAAGATAAGTTCTTTTTTAAGATGGGAGAGAGAAACATATGCTGATCAGAATGATTGAGTGGAAAGGAGGAAAACTGGTGATGAAGGAGAGAGGAAAGAGTTACTGGAATAGTGTTCTTGAGTACGAAAGAAAGAATAGAATTTATGACGTAAGTGGATAGATTGACTTTAAATAGGACCATAGAGAATTCATCTATAATAGCAGGTGGAAAGGCAGCATATGTAATTATAGTTGTTGGTAGGTGGGTAGATATGATGGTGAGAGTTTTTAAAAGTCCTATTGATTACTCCAGTTTTCTCACTGAAATAGAAAGCAAGGTCATCAGCTGAGAGAGAGAATGAGAGAAGAGGTATTACAGGTTAAGAGAGAAGGTACGAAATAGTTGTGTAGGTAAGTGGAAGAGTTAATGGATAATGGAATAGAATATGATTGGCCAGCATCATTAAGTACCCACTTGAGGATGGATATGTGAAATTGGCATTTTTGAGGGGTAGTAGCTATTGGTAGTATTAAAGTTAATGTATGGAGTAAATAGCTGAGATGGGTAGAGGAGACGATTTTTGGAAGAGAAGTTAAAAAAAACCCAGGAGGCCAGCAAAGTGGAAGTATCATTTATATGTATATGAAAATCTCTAAAAATTAAGAGAGGAATCGAGTTGGAGAGAGTGATAGTGAATCGGAAGGGCAGTGCTAAATAAAGGGTAGTGATCCGGGACTCCACAGATGGCAACACTGAAAATGGCAGAGGAGAGAACTCCAGAGCTCTGTCCATCCATAAAAGCAACCAAGGAGCTGTCAAAAACTATCAGTAAACTTTTACAGAATTCTGGAATTTAATAAAAATCTTAAGGAAAGCCTCAGTGAAAAAAGAGCCGCTGCTTTGGGATAAGAGAACACTGTGACATTTTAAATTGCCTGCCTACTATCCATTACACCCAGATAGATGGTGGCCATGAAGATAGAAGCCCTCACTCCTAGTGAAGATTGCCAAAGCCAGAGGATATAAAGAATTGTTTTCAAAGAACCATAGGTTTGACCTATTTGGCTGTTCACTGAAGTACTTGGGCAAGTGCCTGTCTCTGTTTTGCCTGAATGGGAGCATCCCTACCACTTGGGCAGCTTTTGCCCAAAGCATTTTGACTTTAGCAACTATTGGCTTTAGCAGTCTGGAGCAAGAAACAAAAGTTGAATATTCAAGAGAGATACTGAATACTTGGGAAGAAATAAGTTGAATAATGAGATATGTGGGGGGTTTAATGACTTTTAAGAAGCAGATGAATATACCAGGTAGTAGGGAAAAAAAGGCCATGTGTATGCCCAGACCTGTATGTGTACTCAGAAAAGGGCTGAGAAGACCCTAAGCTTTTTCTGTGTCTGGCCTTCAGGCTCTACACAAGCAGGAAGTGAAGACTAAGGCAAAGTTATAAATGGCCTCACTAAGTATTGAGGAATGCCCTAATGCACACAGAACCAATGTACAAAGATTGGGAGATTATTTTTTTTCTTTCTTTTTCTTGAGGGCTTTGGACTTCTAAGAAAACTTAAAACACAAACTGACCACTAAGCTAACAGAACAGAGATTTCAGTGGCCATACATGACAGTAATACAGACTTTACAAAATGAGTTCAGAAAATTCAATAAACAAGCAAACAGCAATAACCCACAATAAGCAGCATCATAAACCCCAGAGTGGGTGCAGAATCTGATTTTCAGAGTTGCTTCTTAATATTCAAAATGTCCAGTTTTCAACATGGCTCATTCACAAGAAAAAAATAAATTAATAGAAACTATCCATGAGGAAGCCCAGGCAGTGGACTTAGTAGAATAATAATTTAAATCAACAGTCCTAAATATACTTATGATCTATAGGAAACCATGAGAACTAAAGGAAACCAGAAAAGCACTGTCTCATAAGACAGAATATCAATAAAGAAATAATTATAAGAGAAATTATGAAATAAAAAAGTACAATAACTGAAATTAAAACTGCACTAGAGAGGTGCAAGAGGAGATTTGAGAAGGCTGAAGCAATAGTAGCTAACTTGATAAGTCTGAGGTTACCCATTCTGAGGAGCAGAAAGAAAAGAATGAAGAAAAATAAACAGAGCCCATGAGACCTATATGACACCATTAAGTGTACCAATATGTGCATTATGACTCCCAGAAGCAGAGGAGAGAGATAAAGCAATAGAAACTATATTTGAAAAAAATAGTGGTTGAAAACATCTGAAAGATATGAGCTACACTAAGAAGCTCTGCAAACACCAAGCAGGAAAAACTCAAAAGAGATTTACACCAAGATACAGTATAGTTAAATTGTTGAAAGCCAAAGACAATCTTGAAACTAGCAAAACAGATGTGACCCACTGGGTACAAGAGATCCTTAAAAAGAATAGCAGCTGATTTCTCTTCAGAAGGTAGTATGAAGGCATATATGCTGAAAGAATAAAACTGTCAACCAAGAATTCTATATCCAGCAAAACTATCCTTCAAAAAAATGAGAGATTATGTTATTCCAAGATAAACAAAAGCTGGGGGAGTTCATCACTAGTAGATCTGCCCTACAAGAAATGCTAAAAGTAGTCCTGGCTGAAATGAAAGGCCACTAGACAATAACTTGAAGCTATATAAAGAAATAAAGTACACTAGTTAAAGTAGCTATAGGTAAATATAAAAGCCAATCTTGTGTTTTTTGGTTTGTAGCTCTTCTTTTTTTCTATGGCTTTTTTTTTTTCTATGGCTCAAAAGGAATTGCCCTAACCGGTTTGGCTTGGTGGATAGAACATTGGCCTGCAAACTGAAAGGTCCCATGTTTGATTCTGGTCAAGGGCATGTGCCTTGGTTGCAGGCACATCCCCAGTCGGAGGTGTGCAGGAGGCAGCTGATCAATGTTTCTCTCTCATTGATGTTTCTAACTCTCTATTCCTCTCCCTTCCTCTCTGTAAAAAATCAATAAAATTTATTAAAAAAAAGACAAAGGAATAAAACTATAATTATAAATCGAATAAACACACAAAGTGTAACTATAAAAGAGAGAGGGATAGAAATGTATAGGTGCAGTTTTTGTGTACTATTGAAACTAAGTTGGTATTAATTCAAATTAGGTTATTACAAGTTTAAAATGTTAATTGTAATAATACCCAAGGTAACTACTAAGAAAATAAGAAATAAACAGAAAAGGAAAGAAGGAAATCAAAATGGTATACTACCAAAATAACACAAATGGAGTCAGTAATAGAGGAAATGAGAAATAAAACCTGGTATAAGACATATAGAAAACTTAGCAAAATGGCAGAAGTCCTTCCTTGTCAGTAGTTACTTTAAATGTAAATAGAATAAACTGTAATTAAAAAGACAAGTTCAGCAGAAGTTATAAAAAACCATGATCCAACTGTATTCTATCTGTAAGATACTCACTTTAGATCTGCTGGGGTCCTGCTCCAGCAGGTCCAGGGGTCCCCAAAGGTGTGGACGGAGTTGGCGAAGAAGGACTGACACGGAGACAGCGTTCAGTTGATCAGCAGCCTTGCCAGGATCT